GAGAATACTATTCAGTAAGCGTTGCCAAAGAAAAGTGAGTCAAAATTAATGTGTGTGTGCATTTATATGTAGGCAGCTCATAGACACATTTTAGCCAGCAACTGACAACAAAGCGCTTACTTTTCCTCGTTTGAATGCTGTAGATCTGTACCTAGTTCTCTCCCATCTGCTGATTTGTTTGTTTTTGTAACCAAACACATTTTCAGATAGAAAGAGCCTTAAAAAAAAAATCACATCGAGTATCTTAAGTATGAATGAATGAGAGTGTGTGGAGCTGCCCCTCACCCTCCACCCGTTTGTGGTTTATTCCCAAATTTTCCCAGTCTCTTCAACAGAAAAAATGACTGATGTTATAATTACCTTTTGGAAACTGAGCCTTAATTTTTTTTTTTAGAGGGGGAAATAAGTTTTTCCCAACTCACACAGCATAAGCAATGTTTGACAGCAATATGATGCCGCTGTAAACTCCTGAGAGTATTATATCTGTTCTGGTAACTGTATACAGAACGTGAAACTGTCTTCTTGTGACTGTAAATAAATTCTATATTTCTAAAGGCATGTTGCATTATTTCCCCCCTCCCTCCTCCCTTTTCTGGTTTTGAGTAAGTTAAATTCATTCTTATTACAGACAGGGGTTGTTTGATTTTCATTTCAGTGGCATAGTTAGATTTTATTGGACTGGAACAAATGGGAAACAAGAACATGAGCCATGGACTCCCCTACCTCCCCCTGCTTAAATCTTGTTTTTTTAGCCGAGTTATTTGGACTCTGGCCCTGTGAACTCCACCTTGAGCAAAGTCACAGACTACAGTTATTTTGCAGGTGAATTCAAGCAATTATATCTAACTATCTAGGTAGGCCTGGCATAGCACTATCAGTGTATACTCTTCTTATCTAGCTAGCTAGTTGGATTTCATTCCAAAAGGAAACTTGCAAACAGGTTACTCTCCTGGTCATTCACCCCTCTGTTCTCACTCTCCTCACTTTCCCTTTGTTGTTTGTTTAAATTTTGCCCCACAAACTCTTATTTGGAGTGATCTTGACTGAAATTTAGCAAATCCAAATATGTATGTTGGGTGACTTTTTGTCTTATTTATTTTTCTCAGAAAAAGGAGGGCCTTTAAAAAAATTTTTTTAAATGTTAATTGTGGCTTGAACTAATAAATCTATTTCATTAGCCCAGTTCTCAGAAAAGTGTATCTTTCCAAGAGCACTGTAAAAATGCCAGTGCCTGGGCCTTGCTCTGATTTGGTCTTCAGCAGTGTGCAGGCCCGCTCTGCCCCGCTGGCCTCAGCCTTTCTCTTTCATCATTGTTCACCTCACCTTCATCCACCTTCTTCCCTTGTCCCCGAACCTAAAAAAACCAAAAAACAAACACAGAATGCTATCATGTATTCGCTAGATAACCTAATAGTGTCTCAGTCAGAGCTTTTCTCTCGTAGGTCTGAATCACACAAGTGGTTTCCAGGTTGCTTAAGGAACTGCCATGTTGTTGAAGCCATGTTTTTGGGAAGCTGTTATTGCTCAGATTTAGCATATGCTCCTTAGAACTCCTTTTACGTTTGCTTTCCCTAATATTATTCTATACCCACTTCAGAGATATTGTGTCCAGAATTTAGTATTCCTGAGTCTTCCGTAATTATAAGGCAATATGAAGGGAAGGCAGAATTTGGTAGAAAAATCTCATCGGGTAAGTAAGAACTTTCATCTAACCCTTGCATATGTTCATGAATTGAGCCTTGAGGTTGCCCTGTTTTTATTTCAATTGTTTGTTATGCGGTCATATTTATAGACAGCAGCTTCTAGGAATGCCAAGGGTTTCTAAAATACCATGCCACATACTGAGATTGGATGAGCAGCCATGTGTGAAACAGTAAATATACTCAGAGCGCAGGGGAAATAGTTTCGGATGCCACTCTGGGGCAAAGAACAGTCTCAGGGGAAGTTTCCTTGTGTCAACAGACTTTCCAAGGTGTAGTTACCTTTGTCTTGGTGATTTGCATGATCTCAGTGCATATGTTGCAGTTTGCACATTCTGTTGATATTTTAACTTACATGATAAGGATTGTTGATTTCTCGTGATTACAAATAATGCATTGTAGTCATGAGGACTGCCTCTTGGTCAAAGCTTCTCTCAGGTTTTTTTTTTTTTTCCTTAAATGTGGCTTCATGATAGAAAAGGGTAGATTATGATGGGAGGATAGGCCAGGGGTGGCGGTGGAGTGGAGGGAAGTGGGGAAGGGTGTTGTGGGGAGGAGGATGGGGGCAAGGCTGGGATCTGGGATTGATACTGCTAGGGGCCCTAATAAGTATCTTCACAAAAGCTGTGTGTTTGCTTTTGTTTTTTAACACCTGTTTCTAGTGGATTGATACAACATATGATTTAAAAAAAAATAATGGTTAAGTTAATGGGATAGAGAGTCATGAAACATTTTCTTTTTTTTTTTCTTTCTTTCTTTTTTTTTTTTTTTGAGATAAAGTCTCACTCTGTTGTCCAGGCTGGAGTGCAATGGCACAATCTCAGCTCACCGCAACCTCTGCCTCCTGGGTTCACGTGATTCTCCTGCCTCAGCCTCCTGAGTAGCTGGGATTACATGTGCTACCATGCCTGGCTAATTTTTGTATTTTTAGTAGAGATGGAGTTTTGCTGTGTTGGCCAGTATGGTCTCGAATCCCTGACCTCGGGTGATCCACTCGCCTCAGCCTCCCGAAGTGCTGGGATTATAGGCTGCCCTGAGCCACCATGGCTGCCCAATCTTTTTTTTTTAAAATTACACTTTCCTTTTGTAATGCTCAGCAAATATTTGTTATTATTACTACTGCTGTAAGCAAGAATTGGTGATTGACTCATAATGTCTTCTACTGGCCATATGTCTTCATTAGCTCAGTTCATGTTCATACCCCTTTTTATAGGTGATAGATTGTAACTTCTCAATCCTATGTCTTCTCCTTCAGAGTTAGCCCTTGTTTCTAAATAAAATAATTTCAGTTATCCACAACACTGTCTTGCAGATGTATTTTTCAAAATTGGGCTGTCTAGGGAAAGGGCTTTCCTTTGATTTTGTTGCTTTCTTTCCTCTTGTATAGTAGCTGTGCCCAAAACGTAAGGAAAATCAAGAAATTGTAAAATATCAGGCTATTCATATTAAATGTAAAACATAAAGTAATATTTAAATTAATTTGTGGCTTGTAAAAACTTTGGAAGCTTATATAATGAACTAATGGCACATAATTTCTGAATTTTAATTAGACTCTTTGTTGGTATTTGAAACATCAGCCTCAGCATACCTATTTTTAAATTATTATTGATACATAATTGTATATATTTATGATGTACAGTGTGGTATTTTGATAAATGAGTACAGTGTGTAGTGATCAAGTCAAGACAATTAGCAAATCCATCACTTTAAACATTTACCATTTCTTTATATTGGAAACATTCAAAATCTTGTCTTTCAGCTATTGAAAATATACAATAGGCCAGGCATGGTGGCTCACATCTGTAATACTAGTACTTTGGGAGGCTGAGGCAGGCTGATCACCGGAGATCAGAAGTTTGAGAGCAGCCTGACCCACATGGTGAAACCCCATCTCTACTAAAAATACATAAATTAGCTGGGCATGGTGGTATGCACCTGCAATCCTAGCTACTCGGGAAGCCGAGGCAGGAGAATCATTTGAACCCAGGAGGTGGTGGAGGTTGCGGTGAGCAGAGATCACACCACTGCACTCCAGCCTGGGCGACCGAGTGAGACTCCGTCTCAAAAAAATACACACACACACACACACACACACACTAAATTGTTAACTATAGTGCCTCTACAATGCTATATAGAACACTAGAATTTATTTCACTTATCTGGCTGTAATTGTGTAACTTTGAACCAATCTCTACCTATACTCCCCTCCCTCCTACCCTTCTCAGCCTCTAGTAATCACTATTCTACTCTCTACTTCTATGAGATCAACTTTTTTAGCGTCCACATATGAGTGAGAACGTGTGGTATTTTAATTTCACTAACCATTAGTGTCCTCCAGCCTCAGCCATGTTGCTGTGAATGACAGGATATCATTCTTATATATTTATTTATTTTTGTTGTAGATTTCATTCTTTTTATGGCAGAATAGTATTCCATTGTATATATATGCCACATTTTCTTTATCCATTCATCTGTTGATAGACACAGATTGATTCCATATCTTGGCTACTATAAACAGTGCGGTAATAAACATGGCAATGCAGATATCTCTTTCACATTTTGATTTTCTTTCCCATGGATAAATACTCAGTACTGGGATTAGGGCATCATATGGTAGTTCTATTTTTAGTTATTGAGGAATATCCATACTGTTTCCTATAAAAGCTGTACTAATTTAGGTCTTTACCAACAGTGTATAAGAGTCCCCCTTTCTCTGCACCTTTGCTAGCAGTTATTACTTTTTGTCTTTTTGATAGTAGCCATTCTAACTGAGGTGAGATGCTATCTCATTGTGGATTTGATTTCCATTTCCTTGATGATTAATTGAGCATTTTTTTTGGTAAACTTTACCATTTGCCTATCTTCTTTTGAGAGATGTCTATTCAGATCATTTGCCCATTTAAAAATCAGATTATTATTATTATTATTATTATTTTGCTATTGAGTTTTTTTACTTCCCTGTATGTTCAGGATGTTAATCTCTTGTCAATGGTTGGGTGCAGCGGCTCTCACCTGGAATCCCAGCATTTTGAGAGGTGGAGGTGAGAGAATAGCTTGAGCCTAGGAATTTGAGATCAGCCTAGGCAACACAGTGAGACCCCGTCTCTACAAAAAAAAAAAAAATTTTTTTTTTTTTTTAATCAACTGGGCATGGTGGTGCATGGTTGTAGTTCTAGCTACTTGTAAGGCCGAAGCAGAAGGATCACTTGAGCTTAGAAGTTTGAGGCTGCAATGAGCTATGATCACTCCAGTCTAGCCTGGGTAACAGAGTGAGACGCTGTTCAAAAAAAAAAAATTCCTAGCTTTGCACAGTGGCAGTATCGTAGCCAATGAGATTTATCGAAGGTGTGATTATTGCTAATTAAAACTTTTCACAATAACTTGCTGTGATGACTTGCAGTATAGTTAGCACTGGTCATTTTTGACAGTCTCTACGGAGACTGATAACAAAACAAACAAACAAAAAAATTCCTGTCAGATGATTAGTCTGCAAAAAATCTTCTCCCATGCTGCAGGTTGTCTCTTTAATGCATTTATTGTTTTCTGTGCTGTGCAAAAGCATTTTGGTTATATATGGTTCCATTTGTTTATTTTTTCTTTTGTTTCCTGTGCTTTTAAAATCTAATTCATAAATTTTTTGCTCAGATCAATGTACTGAAGCATATCCCCTGTTTTCTTCTAGGAGTTTAATAGTTTTGGATGTTTAAAGAAGACCAACGTCCTCAAGCATTCCCCCTGTTTTCTTCTAGTAATTTTATTGTTTTCAGTTTTTCATTTAAGACTTTAATCTGTGTTGAGTTGACTTTTGTACTAGGGATCTGGTCTCATTTTTCTATGGATATCTGGTTTTTCTAGTACCATTTATTGAAGATACTGTCCTTTTCTCATTGTTTTTGGCATTTTTGTAAAAAATTAGTTGGCCTTAACTACATGGATTTTTTTCTGCATTGTCTATTCTGTTCCATTGGTCTATTTTTTTTTATGCCAGTATCATGTTGTTTTGATTAATACAGTTTGGTAGCATATTTTGAAGTCAGGTAGTGTGATGCCTATAGACTTGTTCTTTTTGCTCAAAAATCATATGGTTTTTGGTTTTCATTTTGTTGATCCATCACATTTATGGATTTGCATATATTGAGGCATCTTTGCATTCACAGGATTAAATCCAACTTGATCATGGTGTATATATTTTATGTACCATTGAATTTGGTTTGCTAGTATTTTGTTGAGGATTTTTACATCTTTGTTCATCAGAGATTTTGGCCTGTAATTTTCTATTTTTTGTTGTGACTTTTATTTTATTATCAGAGCAATGCTGGCCTCATACAATGAGCTTGGAAGAATTCTCTCCCTTTCCATTTTTTTCAAATAGTTTGAGAAGTACTGATACTAGTTCTTCTTTAATAATTTTTTAGAATTCAGCAGTGAAGTCATTTGGGCTTGGACTTTTTCTTTGTTGGGATATTGGGAAATGTTTTAATACTGGTTCAATCTGATTGCTTGTAATTATTCTGTTCAGGTTTTTAATTTCTTCTTGGTTTAGTCTCGGCAGGTTGTATGTGTCCAGAAATTTATCCATTTCTGTTAGGTTTTCCAATTTGTTAGCATAGAGTTGTTCATAATAGTCTCTAATGATCCTTTGTACTTCTGTGCTATCAGTTGTAATGTCTTTATTCACTTCTGATTTTATTTACTTGGGTTTTTTTCTCTTTTTTCTTAGTCTAGCTGTTCACTTTCAAATTTTGTTTATTGTTTTGAAAAAGCAACTCTTTGTTTCATCTATTTTTGTACTTTTTTGAGTCTCATTTCATTTATATTTGCTCTGATACTATTATTTATTTTCTTCTGCTGCTTTTGGATTTGGTTAATTCTTGCTTTTCTAATTCCTTGGGGTACGTTGCTATTTATTTGAAATCTGTCTACTTTATGGATTATGTGTTTACTGATGTAAGCTTTGCTCTTAATACTGCTTTTGCTATATCCTATAGATTTTGGGTGTTGTGTTTCCACTTTTATTTGTTTAAAGAAATTTTAAAATTTTCTCTTTAATTTCATCATTCACGCATTGGTCATTTAGGTTCATGTTGTTTAATTTCCATATATTTGTATAGCTTCTAAAGTTCCTCTTGTTTGACTTTTAGTTTTATTCCATTGTGGTCTGAAAAGATACTAGATGAGATTTTGGCTTTTAAAAATTTGTTGGGACTTGTTTTGTGGCCTTATGTATGGTCAATCATAGAGACTGTTCCATGTGGCTGATGAGAAGAATGTTTATTATACAGCTGTTGAATGAAATGTTGTTAATGTTTGTTAAGTCTTTGGTTTATGTTATGTTTAAATTTGATGTTTCTTTGTTGATTTTTTGCCTAGATGATATCTTCAATGCTGAGAATGGGGTCTTGAAATCCCCTCTATTATTTTATTGGAGTCTATCTCTCCTTTTAGATCTAATAATATTTGCTTTATATATCTGGGTACGCCCGTGTTGGGTGCATATACAGTTACAATTGTTAATATCCTGTTGCTAAATTTATCCCTTTATCAGTAAATATTAACCTTTCTTCCTTTTTTAATATTTTTTTTTTTTACTTAATGCATAATTTTATCAGATACAACTGTAGCTACTCCTGTCCACTTTTGGTTTCTGTATGGATTATCTTTTTCTATCTTTTTGAATTTTGTTTATGTGTATTTTACAGGTGACGTGAGTATATAGTTGAGTGTAGGCAGTATATAGTTAGATCATTTTAAAAAATGCATTCAACCAGTGTGTATCTTTTGATTGGGGATTTAATCTGTTTAAATTCAAGATTATTATGAAGACCTTATTCCTGTTACTTTGTTGTTTTCTAATTGATTTGTATAGCCCCTGTTCTTTTCTTTCTCTCTTATCATTTATCTTTGAAGTGTGGTGGTTTTCTGTGGTTATAAGATTTGATTTGTTTCTCTTTTTCCTTTGTATATCTGGTGTATCAGTGAGTTTTATGCTTTCATGTTCTTTCATGTGTTTTCATGATGGTAGTTATTGTTCTTTTGCTTCCAGATGTAGAACTCCCTTAAGCATTTACTTTAAGGCAAGCCTAGTGTTGATAAATTCCCTCAGTTTTTGCTTGCCTAGGAAAGGCTTCGTGGACTTCATTTTTCAAGGATAGCTTTCCTGGGTATAGTATTCTTAGCTGGCATTTTTTTTTTCTTAATGTACTTTAACTGTATTACCTCATTCTTTTTGTCCTGCAAGGTTTCTGCTGATAAATGTGCTATTAGTCTAATGGAAATTTCCTTATATGTAACTTGACATTTTTCTCTCGCTGTTTTTAGAATTCTCTTTGTCTTTGACTTTTGACAATTTGATTATATGTGCCTTGCAGAGGACCTTTTAGGGTTGAATCTAATTGGGAATCTTAGTTCCTCAGATCTGGTGGTCTGTATCCCTCTCAAGACCTTGGAAGTTTTCAGCTGTTAATTCATGAAATAGATTTTCTATGTATTTTTGCATCTCTTCTTGCTATAGTTGGGATATTTGTCTCCCCCAAATTTCATGCTTTATGATGTCCACAAGTTCTGTAGTCTTTCCTCATTCTGTTTCGTTCTTTTGTTTTTGTTGTTGTCTGCCTGGGTTATATCAAAAGACCTGTCTTCAAGTTCAGAAATTCTTCTGCTTGCTCAGGTCTTTTGTTGAAGGTCTCCATTGTATTTTTTATTTCATTCATTGAATTCTTAAGCTTCAAGATTTCTGTTTGTTTCTTTTATTCTATCAATCTCTTTGTTAAATTTCTTATTTGGATCATAAAATATTTTCCTGATTTTGTTGAATTGTCTATATGTATCTTGCATTTGATTGTAGAAGATTGGTCAGGGTGGTGGGAGAAGATATAGGGAAAGATGCAAGCCTTCTTGAAAGGTCAGAAGGTCTTGCAAAAGCTTCAGGAGAGAATAAAGCTGAAGGCAGCTAATTCTCTTACTGGAAGGCTAAGGGCAAGAAGTAGGTAACAAGGGAGTGCAAATAAATCTATCTAGATAAGTTTATTTACTTATGTGATCCAGAGACTGACCTTTGATCATCCAGGTACAAGACTGCTCCCTGCAAGGGGGTACGACAAATGTTAATTACCCACAAATTGTGTTGTTTCTAGGCCTTTGACATTATACCAGTACTGAATAAATATAAGCAGCTCTGGCTTATCAGGACTGCTCACTCTGCAACAGTCCTCTAGTGGCTCTCATGCAAAATACCTGTGTCTGAGTGCTCCTTTCATCCGTTGCTCTGCCAGAGTCTTTGGGACAGACTTATTGGCATCTCACCAAATTTTCTTAAACTCATTATTCTGATTTTTTTTTTTTTTTGGTGTCTTGTAAATATGTTTTTTGGAGGGGGTGCTGGTATTGGAGAATTATTATGTTCCTTTAGAGGTGTGATGCTTCCTGTCATTTTCATTTTCTTGTGTCTCTATGTTGATACCTGTGTATCTGGCAAAACAATTGCCTCTTCCAATTTTGTGGAGTACCTTTAGTAGAGAGAGTCATTTCTGTAGGTGAGTCATATGGTGTCAGTGGGTAAGTTGAGTTGGCATTGTTTCTGGGTGGACACAGTAGTTAGTTAATCTGTTAAGATTCTTTGGCTATAATCCATGTTAATGATCTTTGTGAGCACCTCAGTGGCCTAGGCTGTGAGAATCTATGGTGGCAGTGGTGCATCTTTGCTGGGGTTGGGACTATTGAGCTTTTTCTCTGGCCAGAGGCATGAGTGTGTGTGGGTTGGTTGGTTTGGTGAGTGGCTTGCTGGGGGTGAATTTTCCATGCAGTTTCTCGGGCCACGAGTGCAGGGACACAGATGCTTGGCAGACCTGGGGGTGGGTCCACCAGGAGTATTTCTGCTGGAGTTCACCTTGTTGCTTCTCCAGCTGGGACATGGGTGTGCAGTGGTTCTGTGGCTTGACTTAGGGGCAGGTTTGTCAGCCTGTTTCTTTGGTGGGGAGTGCCAAGAAGGGGGACTTTCTGGGGGAAGGTCCATTGGACTATTTAGTTCAGCCAGCCAAGGGTTGGCTTTCCCACTGTGTCATGGCTGTTCCTGGTCCCGTGCTCTAAGCAGACAGGGTTGTGGTATTGCAGCCACCTGTCTGGACTTGGTAAAATAATGGCAGAGACTCAAGGCTGGAGACATGCAGTGGCTACTGGGCCCCAGAGCAGGATGGACTCTAGCAGTGGTTTCAATTTCAAGATGGCACAGTGCTGTAGTAGCTTGGCTCACAGGGGTTCATTGGGGTGGGGAGTGTGTACACCTTGTATTCCTACTCTGGAGTAATGAAGCTATGTTAATTCCAAGCAGCTCCCCAAACTGGGCTAAAAGCTTTTGAAGACTGTGGGATTCTCCTATACTACAGGAATCTGCAGTGGCAGTTCGGGCAGGTAGGGGCCTTCTACTTACCTTTTCCCCATTAGGGGAAGTCCTTTCTGGGTCTGAGCCAATCTTAATGGGAGAGATGGGGTGGCAGGGCCAGGGTGCCTTGCTCCTCTCTCTTTGCTGCCATCCTGGGCTTCTGTGCTCCACAAGGCTTTCACCAGTCCCTTTCTACACTCCAATGCTATCCCTCAGACACTACAGTTGGATTTTAGCTGTTTATTGGTTGTTTTCTGTTGGGAGGGAAGGATAAATGCCAGGCAATTGTAGTCAGCCATCTTGTTAGTGTCCTTTATTTCTCTTTAGGTTTTTATTTTTAATCCCCAGTCCTACCCCACTTTTTTTTTTTTTTAAGATGGAGTCTCCATCTGTCACCCAGGCTGGAGGGCAGTGGCATGATCTTGGCTCATTGCAATCTCTGCCTCCTAGGTTCAGGCAATTCTCCTGCCTCAGCCTCCTGAGTAGCTGGGATTATGGGCATGCACCGCCACCCCCAGATAATTTTTGTATTTTTAGTACAGACAGGGTTTTCCATGTTGGCCAGACTGGTCTTGAACTCCTGACCTTAGGTGATCCACCCACCTTAGCCTCCCAAAGTGCTGGGACTACAGGCGTGAGCCACTGCACCCAGCTTTATTTCTCATTTTTAAGTTATATCTAATTTTTTTTTCATATGTGATTACTCTCATATAGTTTTGAAGTATCTTATGCTTATTGATTTTATATTTCTAAGTCATTCATTACTTTTTATTGCCAAGTAGTTTTAAATCTTTAATGGAAAGTTATTTTTCCCTTTCACTTAGCAGTAAGATTTGACACAGGCAATTTACCTTGCTACATCTGGAGTGGGGGTGGATGATTTCTACTTTACTCTTACACAGAAGTTGTAGTCCTTTGATATCTCACCTTCGAAGGAAGACTCTAATTAGACTTCCCATCTTGGACAGGCCTTCAATTTTGTGTTTTGTCCTTTAGGCCCTTGAGGCTCTAGAAACCAAAACTTGAGGTTGCCTGGTTCAGCCAATGCCTGCAAAGGAAATGACAATGGCCGGGCTTTCTGTTCTGCTTACTTCTCTGGGAACCGGTCTTCCTTTAGTCCTTGACTTGAGTAGTCCTAACTTTCTTGCTAGTTACAGAAAAATTCAAAATCAGTTTCTTTTATCATATAGGAAGTGAGTACTTGTTCCTAAAAATATAAGTTCTAGAAAGAGACAACTTTAAATTTAGAAAGAAGTTTCTCTGAGTGTTTTACTCTAGATTAAAGTCGTATTTTAATATAAAAAGAAAAACCTCTCCCTTAGAATCATTATTATTGATTTGTAAATTAAATGTTTTGCTGAAAGGTTTTGTAAGATAAAGCAATTTATAGGAGGTCTGGATTAACACACATGTGTAAGATTTTGGTGTTGGTGGAGAATACGAAAACCCAACAGCAGGAAGTTAGCTGAAAGAAGCTACCAGGTTAGTGGTGTTCTTGGCATCGTGGGTGGGTGGTGAGTTTTCAGGCTGTGCATATTACAGCCTAGGCTGAGGATCCCATCAAGGATTTTGATGGCCCTCCATGGTCATAAATTCCTGTTATGAGCACTTCCTGCTGTTATGAGAAGTATATAGTAATTCAGGCTACTTGCTGGCTCTTGGTTCTATGTCTGGAAAAGATGTCTGGGAGAACGCTGAGAATAAAAAATGTATACTCTGTCTTGGTGACCTAAAACATTTCAGATCCCTTTGCTCTCTAAGTTGTGATTGGGCAGTGGATATCAGAAAGAGCAGAACCAGTAAGTCTCCTCTCAAGGTGAAATATATATATTTCTTATAAAAACAGGTGAATTTAAACTTTTTTGAGAACCTTTGAAAATTGTATGCCTTGGCTTAGTTATGCTATACCCTTGGTGATCACACAAATCAATTAGGGATCACAGGTTAGAGTTGGGTACATTTTCAAATCATTGTTTCTCTAGCTTTATGAAGGAAAACACCTGAATTTGGTGCTTACAATTCCTACATAGTTCTGCGTCTGAGGATACAACAATGACAAAGAAAGACAAAAACCCTGGGCTATGGAAATCCACTGAAGCAGGTGGAAAATAAAAACAGAATCAAGAAACCTGCTTGGATGAAAACGTCATAGGGGATTTAGAGTCGCTTTGAACTTTTTTCGTATAAGTTTGGTATAGTAAATGCCTAAGCATTCTTTTGAAAGAGTTTACAGAAAAGTATACTTCCCTTACAACTAAAGTGTGTGTCGAGGGGATCGAGCTCTGTGACTAGGAGCTGGGAGTGAAGCTGGCATCTATGGAATGCACACATGACACTGCTCATGTGCTGAGTCACTTGTGGGGTTGACCTTGGTTCAAAGCCTGTTTTTCATTGCAACCATTCTTTGATAAAGGCAGCCCTGATGTCTGTTGCTAAATCAGGCACAAGTGAACCTGTTGAACTTCCTAACTTGAAGGAATTTTCAGTGCTGATTGTAAGGCAGGTTCTAAACTGTTCCTGCAGAACCAGAATTTTTTTTTTAGGATTGGCAGAGAAATGACTTTGGAAATCCTGTTCTATCCAGCCAGTTCTGCAAATATTTGGTTAACCAATGGAGTGATGAACGAAATACCATAGCTTCACCTAGTAAATTCATTGGTCTAATAGCTCTCTTTGGTAACTGCTTCTGTTTGACAGTTATCCTCTTTAGACATTTACACATATTTTATAAAACACTTACTATAATTCAGGCTCTGTTAGTCCTGAGGCTCTTTGCTGCCCAAGACAGGAACTTGCCATTCAGGATCTTAGAAGAATCTGGAAGTGAAGACAAACACCACTAACCACAAGAGGAAGTGGAAGGCCCTGTTTCTCAGCCCAGGAACAAAGTGCTATGGGAGTGTGGAGAAGTGATTAATGTTGGGCGGAAGGGTATGTAGAAGGGAGGACATGAGTGTGCCTTGGAGAATGAGTAAGTGCTCTCCAGTGAAGTCAGGAAACGTGCAGGTGATTCCTTGTTTTGTACATGTACTGTCCTCCCCAGGCTCCATACCTTGGAGAAAAAAAAAGAAAAGACATACCAGAGGGTTGTTCATAATCCTAGAGGTTTTTGACTCCAAAATGCCCCCTGTACTTATTTTGGAGCCATTTATCACTTTCCCAGCATCACCACTGTAGCCCAAGCCATCATCGTCTCTTACCTGGGCTATAGTAACTCTTCTAATGGATCTCCCTGTCTCTTCTCTTGTTTCCCAAATAGTTTATTTGGTAAACAGAAGCTAGTGTGATAATTTCAACTCATACATTGAATCATTTATTTGTGGTGCCCTTTTTATTGTACTTTAGATTTGCCCCGTGACTGAAGCACAGTACTCTGGGTGCTTGATTAAGGTGGTGATATGGTTTGGAGCTGTGTTCCCCTACCCCAAATCTCATATTCAATTGTAATCCTCAGTGTTGGAGGTGAGGCCTGGTGGGAGGTGACTGGATCTTGGGGGTGGATTGCTCATGAATGGTTTAGTGCCATCCTCTCGGTGCTGTTCTCATGATGGTGAGTTCTCACAAGATCTGGTGGTTTAAAATTGTGTGGGACCTCCCCCCTCCCTCTTTTCCTCTTGCCCCAGCCACATGATGTCTGTGTTTCCCTTTCACCTTCCACCATGATGGCAAATTTCCTGAGGTTTCCCTAGAAGCAGAAGCTGCTATGCTTACTGTACAGCTGCAGACCCACAAGCCAATTAAACCTCTTTTCTTTATAAATTACCCAGTCTCAGGCATTTCTTTGTAGCAGTGCAAGAATGGACTAATACAGGTGGTGTATTAGTTTCTTAGGGCTGCCATAACAAAACCACAGGCCAAGTGGTTTAAACAACAGAAATTTATTTTCTCCCAGTTCTGGAGTCCAAGATCAAGGTGTAGGCAGGTTTTGGTTTCTCTATCCTTGGCTTGCAGATGGCTATCTTCTCACTGTGTCCTCCTACGGTTGTCCCCCAGTCTGTGTGTTTTCTGTGTCGTAATCTTCTTTTCTTACAAGGACACCAATCGTATTGGATTAGGGTCCACACATATGACCTCGTTCTACCTTAATTGCCATCTTAAAAGATCTGTCTCCAAACAGTGGCAGTTAGAGGTACTGGGAGTTGGGACCTCAGCATACAAATTTTGGGGAGTACACAATCCAGCACGTAATAGGTGGTATCTGCTGGGCTTTTCCATGGTAAACTTACTCTTTTCTCCTTCATTAGTTAATGAGTCATTTGGAGAGAGATACTTTGAAACTACACAAGTATCTGATATGGTTTGGCTGTGTCCACACCCAAATCTAATCTTGAATTGTAGCTCCTATAATTTCCACGTGTTGTGGGAGAGACCTGGTGGGAGATAATTTAATCATGGAGGTAATTGCTCCGATACTGGTCTCATGGTAGTGAGTCTTATGAGATCTGATGGTTTTATAAAGGGTTTCCTCTCTCACTTTGCTCTCATTGTCTCTTGCCTGTCACCATGTGAGATGTGATTGCTCCTCCTTGCCTTCTGCCATGATTGTGAGTCCTTGCCAGCCATGTGGAACTGTGAGTTAATCAAACCTGTTTCCTTTATAAATCACCCAGTCTCAGGTATGTCTTTATCAGCAGCATGAGAATGGACTAATACAATATCCCATTCCTCATCAAGCTTTCAATTTATTCATTTGCTTATTTAGAATACTATGAACTCATGGTTTCCTATTCATTTGATGAATTAAAATCCGTTATTATTCATTTTGATGTTAAATTTGTCCCAGATTTGGCCAAGGAGCCCACTACAAGCCTGCTTTTATGTCCTTTTGACATATCCCCATCATTTCAGGCCCTTCCTTTCAGGCACAGTATGTTCCAGGCTTATCTTGAACTTTCCCTGTCCCAGCCCCCAAATTAATCATCTCTTCAGAAACCCCTGATTTCTTTTAGTGGAGAATTTGGAAGCCAAGATTTAGGATGCTAGATGTGTACATTGCTTTGGGGTATTGTCACTTCCAGACCCTATTGGTGGATAGAGCTAGAAAATATATATATGTGTATACACACACACACACACACACACTCACTTATATCTATGTTTGTTTTTGTCTATGACCTATCATCTATATGTCATCTATGTCAACCTACCTATCATAATTATCTCTAATCTATCATCTATATCTATTTATAATCTGTATATCTCTGTATAACTCTGTCACTCTACATATTCGATATCTATCACTCTATTAGCTGTCATTCTCTATCTATCTATCTATCTATCTTTCTCTCTCTCTCAAAAACCATAAGTTCTCTCAAACACCTCCATTTCCAATCCAATATTACAGGTTCATTTTAGTTTTCTCCCTCTTTTATTTGTGAGTCCCCTCTCAAACAGCGAGAAGCCTGTTCTCTATCTGTGATATATTTACTTATTTGTAACCAGTCTCAATGGCTTCGCACTCTCCCTATATAGATTCCCTCCTCACCTCACTTCGTGTCTACTTTATGCAGGACCACTCCCTTCCAGGAAGGCCTTTCTTACCCTGCACAGGAGGGGCCACTCCTTCATGTGGATCCTCCTATTACTGCTCTAGGCTTGACTCCCCACATCAGGATGTCCCCTCCCAATGAATATGTCCTTCTCAGGCTCTGTCACCTCACCTGTTTAGGTTCCAATGCCCTGCACTGGGCAGCCTTCCTCTGAGAATGTTCTCCCCATGCCCAGGCTCCACAGTGCACAGAACCTGCACTGGGTCATCAGTGCTTCCCATCACCAATGTGGAGGCCCACCTTGCTCTGCCCACCTATGGCTTTAGGACTGAAATATTCAAGGAAGGGAAACCTCCCAAGTAGCTGAGATTACAAGCATGTGATACCACACCCAGCTAATTTTGTATTTTTAGTAGAGGGAACGTTTCATCATTTTGGCCAGGCTGGTCTTGAACTCTTAACCTCAGGTGATCTGCCTGCCTCAGCCTCCCAAAGTGCTGGGATTACAGGCATGAGCCACCACACCTAGTTGAGATCTGATGGTTTTATAAGGGGCTTTGCTCTGCACTTCTCCTTGTTGCCACCCTGTGAAGCTGCCACCATGCTTTCCCTTCCACCATGAATCTAAGTTTCCTGAAGCTCCCCCAGCCTGCAGAACTGTAAATGAATTAAACCTCTTTCCTTTATAAATTTCCCAGTTTTGGGTATTTCTTCATAGCAGTGTGAGAGCAGAACTGATACACTGCACGAATTTCAATTTGGCTTTAATAAACAAAGAATGTTATTCTTTGTTTGGCGATGCCTTCAAGTTTAATTTTGAAATTGGAGGTCTGATATTACCATGAAACAAAGTTGTCCCACCTTATTTCATTAATGTAAGGGCTAAGTGTTACCTTTTATCTTCCATATGTTCTTTCCTTTTGTTGCTATATTATTGGGCAAGCATCTTCTCCTTCCACAGAGGTTGGCACATGCCCCTATGCTAGCTGCTTAGAGAACTTCTTCTGGCTCAAGTATTGACACATGGACTAAGAGTGTCAGAGTCCTTTTGAGAGAGCAATAAGGACACAGAGAGATAGGTTCTTAGATTGCAACAGGTAAGAACTATACAGATCCAGAGATCATGGGAGTCATCTTTGCTGCCACAAGGAAAGTACCTTCTGAGAATGAAGCCAGCACAGAGGAAGTGGAGAAAAAGAAGAGAGATCCAACCTGATGATACAGCTTGATATCCTTCATTCATCAGTGTTTAAGCCAGAAAACCCTTTGACTTTCCAGATACAATAGTTAATACAGTCTTCAATGTTTTCCCCATACTTCAGCTAAAGCGAATTGGGTTTGCAACTAGAGTTAATTGAATTTACAGCTATAGTGAGTTGCAAGTGAAATAGTTCTAAAACAAATGGTTTTATAAATGTATATGTATAGTATATATGTGAGTATATCTATACATACCTTTGTGTGTATGTCTACACACACACATATTCTTTTTTTAACTATAGGAGTTTTTCTCCAATGAAATCTTACATAATACTTTGATTAAATCAGTGATCAGGTTCCGAAGGCTCAGAGCCCCATTCCCTTGGTCTCCTTCTGCTTCTTTTTTTTTTTTTTTTGTGACAGGGTCTTGCTCCTTGCTCTGTCGCCCAGGCTGGAGTGATATTGACTCATTGCAACCCCTCATGTTCAAGTGATTTTCCTGCCTCACTTTCCCAAGTAGCTGGAATTACAGGCACCCTCCACCATACCCGGCTAATTTTGTTTTTTGTTTTTTGGTTTTTTTTTTTAGACAGTCTTGCTCTGTCGACCAGGCTGGAGTGCAGTAGCACATTCTCGGCTCACTGCAACCTTTGACTCCCTGGTTCAAGTGATTCTCCTGCCTCAGCCTCCCAAGTAGCTGGGATTACAGGTACATGCCACCAAACCCAGCTAATTTTTGTATTTTTAGTAGAGACGGGGTTTCACTATGTTGGCCAGGATGGTCTCTATCTCCTGACCTCATGATCCGCCCACCTCGGTTTCCCAAAGTGCTGGGATTACAGGCGTGAGCCACTGCACCTGGCCTAATTTTGTATTTTTAGTAGAGATGGGATTCCACCATGTTGGCCAGGCTGGTCTCGAAGGCCTGCCTCATCCTTCTGCCTCTATTGATACTCTCGAATGCACCTTGTTAAACCCTGAGGCTCTGCGAAGCAAACACTAAAACATCCTTAGAGCAAGAAATATGTTACTTTAAGAGATTCTTCCCTTCTCTATTGTAGGACCTAATTTTAATGATTTAAATATAAAATATTCACAATAGACTCTGTTGAATATTTATTGAATCTAAATGTCTATCAAGCTAAATTAAATGTTAATTAACCCAGACACTAGCTATGATAGGCAATGGTGCACAGAAGCCTTTGGAAGTTTCCCACCTGCTACTACACTCATGTCTGTTGGGTGTTTCCCAGACAACAGAGGCCTCAGAAGTGCATGAGTTCTTCAAGGAGCTGTACAGCACACATTCTTTGGTCAGTGCCAGGAAAGCCAGCCAGGGAGAGTATTGCAAACTTATAAAAACTGGAGGAAGACTTTCCAGATGTCCTCCTTTCCAATTTATGAGTGAGATAGAAAAAAACAGAGCATTTGAGGCTGTGAATATCTCTCACTGCCTCCATATTCAACGCTAAACACACACATTTTTTCAGTGTTGCAGTAGTTAATTTTGGCATGGAACACACCACTCTGAAATCTGAACATAAAAGGGAAAGTTAACTCTAACAGAATTATGAAGGGATTTGTAAATACCGGTAGTCAGAGGTTCTGCTGCAGTCCCTCTTTCAGCGGGAGGTGAGCAGGCGAAAATTCTAGCAGTGCATTTCTTCTGTGAAAATACACTGCTGTCAGGAGGCAATACTGCTTCACAGAAAGCTACTCCTAGAATTCAGGAGCTTGTGTAAACCACGTCAGCCTTCAATAAAACAGGAAGTAACACATTTCCTCATTCTCTCCAGGAAAGAGAATCAGTCTGTGTAGAAAAGCATTTTGGTTGTTTCTTTAACCTTGTTTTCTCTGGATCCTCTTTCCTTTTGTTTATAGTGTGGCTCGAGCGTATGTATATCTGGCCCCCGTTACCTATGCTCAGTTCATCTGGGTTTGCTATTTTAGACACTGTGTGGAGGTAGTTTTGGATAAAAGTCATGGGTTTGGGCAGCACAAGTCACTCAACTAACAAAGGCATAATCATCACTGAGGTGACGTCCAGATTAGACTCTTTTTTTTAGTGTAGCCTTCCTTTCCAAGTAGATCTGTGAATTCTTATCAGATTTGCTCTGGAGCAAGAAGCATTTCTTTTCTAGTACTGATATTATTTCCTTCTAAAGTGGTCTCATCATCATTAAAGGAAAATTCAGTTTTCTAAACATAAGCCTAAGTCTTAGGCCAGAAGTTCAATTTCTAACAAAGTAAACAATGTCCTCTTAGAAGCTTTTCTTTGTAGTGGGAAATTGCAAAGCATTGCTACATGGTTGCACGTTTACATTTCTTTCTTTCTCTACACTTTGTGATAAATTCCAATTCCGAGGATCTTTTTCTGCTTTTGTCACATTATATTTATGGATGAAATTAGGAGAGTGGATCTGCTGGCCACCGTTCAAAACATTTCACAGATAAATCTGTTCTGTAGCCCATCTTCCTTAATGAAAGCTTCAGGGATATTCATTCATTCATTTAATCAGTGCTCACTGAAGTACAGAGCCTTTCCCAACAGCCTGCTGTCTGGGCAGGAATGAATGTTGTTTTTCCATGTTGGGTGCCTCGCCTGTCTGTCTGATGGCCTGTCTTGGGCAACCTCAGATTGTCTACTGATGTGGCCTTGGGGCAGGATCTGTTATTTGCAGACCTTTCTCTAGTCTTGGGCTAGATGTCGCTAGCCTTTTGAGGTAGGGGGGTAAGCCAGGGCCATAACTGGTGAGTCAGGCTGGCTCCTGAGGCTGGCTACAGGTGTTCCTCAAGAGGGGTGGCAGGTGGGTGGGGCACAGCTTCGGCCTGGTGCATGCATGTGTCTCAGATTGGCAGATGGCTGGTAAAAGTGGTTGGCATTTCGAGAACACTGAGTTCAAATAAGGACACGTTTTGTTACTTTTTGCTTATCATCCATGATTGGGCTTTCTATGATATTAAAGCTAGTAGATTCATGTAATTTCCTGTAAGAGAAAGGACCTTCACCTATCTGCTGCTTTAACAGGTGGATCTGTTTAGGCCACTCAGCTGGGCATACTATGAAGTGCCAGGTACACTTCTATTCCCCTTTTTAGTCCCCAAATTAGGTGTAATTGTCATGGTTTACTCTGTGTACCAGGAACTCTCATCTTGCAAGGTAGGAATCATTGTCCTCATTTTCAAATGAGGAAAAGTGAGATCCACAGAGCCTGAGGGTCTTCCCAGCCAAGGCTTGCCTAAGTTGTGAGAGATGGAGCCACACGTGGTATACACTTAAGTTATATCTCTTGTAAGTATTTCACTGCTCTGGCTTTCACACTGGCTGCCATGCCTCATCATTTGCCCTCCTTAACTCTCGCAGTCAGCCACAGAGTTCTCCTTGCTCCTCCTGTTCTGTTGACATGGGACCTCCTTAGGTTTTCCTGTCTCATTTTCTCTCCACCAGCTTGGCTTTTTTGTCCTCTCTCCTGCTCTGTGTACATAATTGGATTTTTTTTCTTTAAAATATCTCTCGAATTTTATTCTCCCTGCCATCCCTATTCAGGTAGCAATCAGATCTTTTCATCTCTTGCTAGATCATAACAGTGTTAGAACTAATATTCTTTACGTCTGAAGCCACAGTTATATTCAGCTTCCTAACACACCCCTTTCATCATGTCACTATTCCTTATTAGATACTAAGTGAAATGTAATCTCTTAGCCTGCAATTCTAGGCACTCTACAAATCTAGTTCGAAATTGTTGAAATTTCTATTTATCCCCTTTCCTCTAGGTAGATGTGTATACTTGATGTTTCTAAAACATCTTATGAGGCCTAGCATGGTGGCTCACACCTGTAATCTTAGCACTTTGGGAGGCCGAGGCGGGTGAATCACTTGAGGTCAGGAGTTCGAGACCAGCCTGGCCTGTAGGGTCCAGCCCTACAGGGTTCTGTGAGCCCCTCCTGGCTGGTGTGAAGACGAGAAATTGTACAAATAAAAGGCCAAGACATAGAGATAGAGAAAAGAGAGTTTGGGCCCAGGGGTCCACTGCTACCCAAATCGTGGAGACCAGCAGTGGCCCCAAATGCCTGGACACTCACTTTTATTGAGTTGCAAATCTAGGGGCAGAGAGAGTAGGGCGTAAGTAGGGTGTGGCCTTGGTGGTTGGTGACTAGGGGCAGGGTAAAATAGGGCGTGGCATACAGGTGTGGGCTCAGGAATTTCTGGCTCCCAAAGTGAGGTAAGGAGCATGATGCATCAGCACTTTTTCCATACTTATCAAGAAAGAACTAAAACATTAAGATTTATATTACTACTACTGATGATCTTTTCTAAGAAAAAAGGAACCAGGTGCAGAAGCAGGACATGAGAGTAGACATGGAACGTGACGGCTGATGCACAGCATCACATAGAGACAGTTAAGACCATGGATGTTTGCGGGTCTCTGCCTGACAGCCATCAGGCCTTACCACAAGAGCTTGGAGAAGTGGAGCTTTCTCCTAACTCCTCCGGAGAAGGAGACATCTCAGTCATCTTGGACGTCTCCTTCCCCAGCTGGCTAATCAGCAGGCGCTTTCACAGTGTGGGTGCTGCCGCACAGCTGAGGTGCCCTCCAGTAACCCTTATGTGGGCGTGACAGAGGGCCTAGGGCATCTTGCCTTAGTGTCATTCATTTCACAATGTCACCCCAGGTTCACACTTCCGACCTGAGAGGCATTACTAAAAGAATTAAGATTTCCTATGAATAACTAATAACTACTATGGTTATATTTCTAGTTACTTTCTTCTTCATTATTTATATGGAAATAGGCTGAGGCCTTTTGCTCCTGCCTCGGTGCTTATTGGATCTCCCCCCTACACTGGCCAACATGGTAAAACTCTGATGCTACTAAAAATACAAAAGTTAGCCAGGCGTGGTGGCTGGTGCCTTTAGTTCCAGTTACTCAGGATACGGACACAGGAGAATGGCTTGAACCCAGGAGGCGGAGGTTGAAGTGAGCTGAGATTGTGCCACTACACTCCAGACTGGGTGACACAGTGAGACTCTGTCTCAAAAATAAGTAAGTAAGTAAATAAATAAATAAATAAAACATCTTATGGCTGAGACCATTTACTCTCTCCAAATTCACTCTCTTCCTCTGTCTTAGTAACAGGATGCTCCATTTATTCAAGATGTTAGCACACCCAACTGGAAACTATTTCCCAGGCTCTGTTGCAACCAGGTATAGGAATGGGACTTAGTTCTTGTCAAAAGGACATGAATCCAAGTCTAAGGTAGGACTTCTGGGTAGTATCTATAAAAGGTATTTCTCTTTCTAGCAGTCTGGTTTTGGAATGTAACGGTTAGTAGCCATCTTGGCCCTTGAGAAGAGGCCACACTCTGTTCTTAGACTAGAAAACTGGAAGGTGTCTTAATCCTCCGTGCTTTTGTGGATTTGTATTATCAGCTCTGGCTTCAAAATTATTTGAGCCATCATTTGAACCTCATCCCAACTGATACACATGCTTCATGGAGGAGATAGCATTGAGATCATCCTCGAGGGAAGAATGGGATTTAGACGGGCAGGAAGAGTAGGGAGATATCGCAGGCAGGGGGATAAAATAAAAATAAAACCCATCACATTTACAGAGTACTTTACGGCTTATAGAGTGCATTCACGTCTGCTATTTTATTTGTTCCTCATAGTAACTGGATATATTATAAGCAAATATTATCTTCGTTTTACAGAGTAGAACTGTGGAGTCCAAAGACAGACAAATGATTAAATGGGAAGGACATTGGATTTGTAGTCAGACGGTCTGGGTTTGAGGTTCTTACTGTGATGGACACACTTTAAGGTGGTTCCCATGATTCTTCTCCCAGTGTTTATGTTTTTATATAATCCTCTTCTCTTGCATGTAGGTAGACCCGTGAATTACTTCTAATCAGTAGACTATAGCAAAGGTGAGGAGATGCTGCTCTCATAACTTCATTACGTTATATACCACTCCAGAGCCTCCTGCTCCCTCACCACCTCTACCATCTCCATTGCTGATTTTGAGGAACAAAGCTGTCATGAATCTTACGCTGCAAGGAACTTAATGCTGCCAAGAACCTTTTGAGTGGGAAAATGGATTCTTCTCCAGGCAAGCCTCCAGATGAGACCTTAGCCCAAGCCAACACCTTGCCTACAGCCTTATGAGACTCTGAAGCAGACAACCCAGCTAAACCATGTCCAGACTCCTGGCTTAGACTGTGTGTTATTTTGTTACTCAGTTCATGGTAATTTGCTACGTAGAAATAGATAGCTAATAGACGATCTCCTAGTTGTGTGGCCTCGAGTTAATAGCATACCCACCTTGTCATGGCAGAGGTGATTAACTGTTCACCATAAAGTTATGCTTCCTCTTCCACAGAACTTATCACTGGGAAGCAGCCACCCTGTGAGAGCCTACATTTCATAATACCCTTGCATCTGGGTGAAGGCATTGGCTGTTCCCACCAATGGGACATGAATGAAAGTCATTTGGGTCACTTCCAGCATGAGGTTGTTAAAAAGCAGGTGTGCTTTCTCCAGCCCTTCTGACTGTCTGCCAGCTTGAGACAGCAGACAGAAGCAGTCAGGGCTCGATGACCTCATGGAGGAAACTGCACACTGACCAGGAACACCCTCAGTACACAGTCATATGAGCAGGAAATAACCCTTGTGTTAAACGCTAACTGCTTTGTTTATTGTAGAAACTACTGTTTCCCTAATG